AAAAAAAAAAAAAATGCATTATGTTAGTTCCTCAAGTGAATGGTAAAGGGTAAAAATTTCCTGCTGAAGCAACCTAGTTAGTGGTGCATATTTTTCTTGATTGATTCTCTTGAGAAACTAAGAAAGTTTAGCTCCCTGTTATTTTCTGGATCCTTTTGACTTGAAATGACAGAAGAACATGATTTTGAAGTACCCAAAATCTGGACCCATTTGGAATGATATTTTGGCGGTGTGTTATCATGTCGGCAGGCCGTAGAGTCTGCACTTGTTGATTGGCTAAGGCCCAGCCAAAGACATGACTTGATTACGTCATCACAATTCACAGCCTCTGGTTCCCTAGATTTGTATGAGCTTTTTCCCCTCAGAAGTGTTTTCTTAATCTTTTAACAGATTCGTTGATTTCTTTTATGAAGTTCGATGCTGGGAATAAATGTCAGGTACTCTGCGAAAATGTTATACCACTAGCCCATTCTCAACTAGGATTAGATCTAATTTTGCAGCACATGATTCATTTTATCATATTTAATTTTGCAGATCGGTGGGATGACGTGCGCATCATGCGTCAACAAAATCGAGACTCAGATTAAGAAGCTACGAGGAGTTAAATCAGCCGCCGTTGCTCTGACAACGCAGCGAGGTCGAGTAGAGTTTGATCCTGAAGAGATCGGACCAAGGGATATCTTGGATGCTGTAGAAAAATTAGGTTTTTCCGCTTCCGTCATTTCTAACAAAGATAAAGACTCTAGACCCTATATTGATCAAAGGTATGTGAACATTTTTAAAAATATTGTTTGCATTATATGACATAGTTCAAATTATTTTAGTACACACTATAAGAGCCTAAACGAGCGGTGAGAAATATTTAATTTCTATGTAATTTAAATTTAATTAAGTGGCAATATTTTTTTTCTCTTTCTCTTTCATATTAGGAAAGCCAATTAATTTACGTACTAATGTCCTACATTCTCGAAGGAATTTTGATCACATGGTGAACTAAGTTTTTTGATGTCAAGTTGTTTCCTCAATCTCTTTTTTGTTCCAAACGTCTTCTCTCTATAATTTGATCTGATAATTTTCCAAACGATACAAATGCTTAAAACACAATTTCAAGAAAAACTGTATTATTTGATTGTAACTGATCGGTTTTGATGAAAACTGTAAACTAAAAAGCTTTGTTGGGGCCTTAAAATTTGATATTATAAATATTGCTCTACTGTAAGATGCATTTTAACCTAGCAAATGATTATCCTTTAAAACATCCTTTTTCATAAATTTTGATGCTTACACCATTGAGAAAGTAATCTGTTCATTTCAGCATTGCATCCCTTTGCTGATCATTTCTAATCCTTGTTTTTGTTTTTTTTTTTTTCAGGGAAGAAATTTTAAAATGGAGAAATGCGTTCCTAATATCTTTAGTTTTTGGTGGACCATGCATGGTGATCATGACCTATTACATGTGGGGTATGAGTTTTGGTTGGGTGGACCATGAACACATGTGCTGCGTGCTTCCAGGGCTGTCATTAGAAAATTTATTGTTATTTGTGCTCTCTACACCAGTCCAAGTAAGTCAGCTTCCTCTGTTCTCAGTTGTCCATGTTAATACTAGTGTTTTAACACGCATTTTTGTAGTTTCACTCTCGGGTAATTACTTTTTTACTAATTAGCAATAGCTTCATCGCATCCAGTGTATTTTGCAAATTAAAAAAAACCCTGTACCTTATAACCGGTGTCAGACATTCTAGCTATTTTTTTCTCACATATAGATCCCTTACTTACTATGTCCAGTATGTAAATGAATCAGTTTTTTCAAAATTTTCAGTTATGTCACTTTGGCCCTTAACTACATATATTATCAGAAAATCCAATCATGAAAATCATGTAAAAATTGTTGTATCGTTATAATTGATTTATTTTTTTCCCCTCACAGTCAGCCTTAGCAATGGAATCAGTTACACTGAGATCTTAATAGTTGCTGTGATTTCTGCATGCTAATTTCTCTCTTGTATTGTTTTTTGTATTACATTCACATTCTAATTTGAGTAAATTAATTGTTTCAAGTTTTTTGGAGGCTGGCATTTTCATGTAGCGGCTTGGCGAGCTATTAAACATGGTACCTCCAACATGGATGTTCTCATCAGTACTACGACGATGGTGTCTTATATTTACTCTGTGGTTGTGCTTGCCATTGCAATTTATCTGCAGCAGCAAGCTAGTCCTCAAACTTTCTTTGACACCCCACCCATGTTGTTTGTTTTCATATCTCTTGGTCGTTGGTTAGAGCACATTGCTAAGGTATGTCCTTTTTCCATTTTTATTTTATTTTAGTCATTAGCTTCTTCTTTTTTTCAGTTTATTAGCTATAATTAGTTGATATTTAATGAAGTGAAAACATTAAAACAAGCAGCATTTGAGAAAAAGTCTGTTGCTTGTGATATTTGAGGAGTTCCTCGAATCAAACACTCATGCTCAACCACAGTTTTAGGAAAGTATGAAAAATTGGAAAGTTTGGAACTCGGCTCTCTATCATTTATTTATTTATTTTGCAACTTTTTGTACATAGACACAGGCAGTTATCGTACACGTCACATTAACATAAATTTGATACTTAAATCTTATGTTAACAATATTACATCTAAATCACTATGCATTAATTTGTTACATTGTGATCGAAGAAATCGTCTACAGAGTAGAATTCATTATTAATTAAATACACTTTTAGTTTCAATAATTTGTTCCCATCTCCTTCCCTGATTTGCTTGGGAAGTTTATTATACATTCTGCTCCCTTCTCTGAGTAGGGGATCTACTGCGTTTTCAAGTTTTATGTTGGACTTGTTCCGAGTGTTATGAGAATGCACATTGTTGAAAGTTTTGAATTCGTCAAAGTTTTGGAAAACATATTTAAGCTTATGATAGATATAGATGCTTGGGACCGTTAGTAGATTCATTTCTTTGAACTTGGATCGGCACGACTCGTTTCTGCCTAGACCAGAGATTCTTCTGATGATCTTTTTCTGCCAGATGAAAATGTCATTCAGTTTGTTAGAACTACCCCATTCGGCTATACAGGATGAAATATGAGAATATGCATGTGCATAGTATACATCTTTAAGAACTTTCTGGCTAACTAGACTTCTAAGAACTTTAAGTTGAAAAGATGTGGTTGCTAATTTTTTGCATAGTGCTTCAGTATGGGCAGACCATGATAGCTTGTTGTCTAAGAAAATCCCTAGAAATTTTGCAGAGTCGACAAGCTTTACACCCATCTCTGATAGAGCATGACTGTCAACCGCTAAGTTGCATTACTTTTTACCAACTTACACTGGAGTAAATTTATCTTTAACTATTGGTGTAGGCTGCAAAGGAATTAATAGAACTTATTTCGATAGCCTAGATCAATTGAATTGCATCGTGCGAGAACTGCTTTTGTTAACATTTCCAGTATGAGTTTTTTTGGGTTGATACTTTTCAAGGTTAGATATTATCATGAAAATTGTGTCTTAAGACCTGTCTCAGGGTTTTCTTAATTCCATAACGAGTCCTTAAACTGCCTTCATGATTGTACATATCGGCTTCTGAAAAATATTTGTACCCACAAAACTCAAAGCTGGAAAAATGGACATCAGCTGTTTTTGCAGGAAGCAATTCAATTTAAAATGAGAATTATTGTTATTTTGATGAGAAACAGTGCAAGTTTCAATCAAAGCTGTTTCAATTTATGTTGTATTCATGAAAACTAGCCCCTAGAAAGTAGTATGTCCCTTGAACATGTTTAATAGATTATTTATTTTGTTTTGGTGAATCTTCAATTTCATGATTTTTCATTTTTTTCTCAGGGTAAAACGTCTGAAGCACTCTCTAAGCTGCTCTCTTTGAAGCCTACTGAAGCTTTATTAGTTACGCTAGGCTCCAACTATGAAGTCCGGACAGAAAAGCAAATTAGTGTTGATTTAGTACAGAGAGGGGATGTTTTAAAGGTAGGTTGATTTAAGTACCTCTCCAACTTCATTCAATGGAAACTGTTTGTTTAAGTCATAACAATTTTATTCAATCTTCCTATCTTCATTTTAATCCTTTCAAAGTACTTTCAGGTATGGTGTACAAGTACGTTTCATTCAAATGAAATTATTTCAATTCTTGTAAGAAAAGAAAAAATAGACACCGAAAAAGGTTTTTCCTGAGATATTATTTTAACTCAAAGCGTTGTATTTTGTCGGCAAAGTTTGTTTTTTTAAGTTAAAACCATGCGGATTTAACTTAAAGCCAGTTTTTGTGAGTTAAAAAAATGTTGCTTTGTCATTGGTTTTTTAAATTTAACTTAAAGGTAACAAAACGACGATTTTTTTTAACTATAAAAAAACAATTTTTTTTTTTCATAAGAAACAATGTTTTAAGTCAAAATAATATCTCAAGAAAAATGTGTTTCAGTGCAGCACCATCATATCTCAAAAAAAAATTTCATCATGTTTATTTTAGTGTGTGTGACAAAGTAGGTCAATTTTCTACTTATTTCTAACATCCTTAGTTTGACAAAAGCACTCTTAATGATCCGATGACTTCATTCATCCTCCACCTCCATGATCATCTAAAATATTTCTTTAATTCCTTCTTATTCACTTGATTTTCAATAATTAATTTCTGTTTGCCTTAGGTTTTACCCGGTGCTAAAGTCCCTGTGGATGGGAAAGTTCTCTATGGAAATTCGACTTGTGATGAGTCTTTAATTACTGGAGAATATATGCCTGTCATAAAAAAACCTGGTAAGTTTACATACCAACATTTTCTGATGTTTGTGGCTTTCATTATGTAACACAATTGTCCGCTGAGTTCAATTACACCAGTATCATGACAAGTACAGATGTTAACTTACAATAATTTAACCTTTCCTCAAAACTATTCTTAAAGGAATGAGTTATTTTTCATTTGAATGAATCTTTGGTATTCAAAATTTATCAGAATAACTCTGTCAACTGCTTGCTCACATGTGGTAAGGTTGTTTTTTCCACCGCAAATACCAAAGCGGTATTTATGTATTTACAGTATCACATAACATCCTATTTAATTTACCTCACTCAACCACAAAGTGTTAGTAGCTTCTTGTCCAACCCTGTCTTATTTTATCAAGATTTCTGGTAGCTACGAAAATGTGGAAAATCAGGTAATTTTGCAAGCACATAGCGCGTTGGCTCTGCAACTTCAGGTGGTGCCTTTTGAGAGAGTGCGAACAACTTCTAAGTGCTTTTTTCTTAACTTTAATCACCTAAGGTGAATATTTCATCTATACTTAAGCAAAAATCAGTGTTAAAAAAGAGAGAGAAAAAAAGGGGGGAAAAACCAAGTGTGGAGTTTGAAAATTTTGGAGTCAGGAAAAAGCAAGAAAAAGTCAAGAAAAAATCAGAGAATAATGAAATGGAGAAACTTTGGAAACCCTGTTTATTTTGATATCGCATGTAAAAAAATCCAGGAGACAATAATCTTATTTTATGACTCTACAAACCATGATTAATTGAAGATTAGCAGTACTGAACATCTCTAAATTTTATATGAGAGAGGAACGAACAGGAGTTGCAGTATTTCAAGTCTTTTGCTGGAAAGAAACCTTTAGGAGACATTCTGCCAATAGTTTTGATATAAATTAATTTTACTCATTATGTGCAATCTGTTATCAGGAAAGACTGTGATAGGAGGTTCAATCAACCAAAATGGAATGCTTCTGATGTTAGCAACGCATACAGGAGAGGCGACAACGCTGGCTCAGATCGTGAAATTAGTGGAGGAAGCTCAAACATCCAAAGCTCCAATCCAACAGTTAGCTGATAAAATTGCTGGCTACTTTGTGCCGTTTGTTCTGATAGTTTCTACGATCACATTAATAGCATGGGTCATTTTTGGCTACCTAAATTTCAGCCGGCTCCCTGTCAGCGTAAGTTCCAGTACTTTAAATTTTCCCCTATCTTCAAGTCTACCAGTCTGAGTCCCAACGTCTTGTCCCCATTTCCTCTTGTACCCTAATTTTTTAAGGTTTCTGGACAAAATTAAATGTGTGACGTTAAATGGGAAATAAAGTCAATAACTAAAAAATTGTAAAACACTAATAATTGGTAAATGTAATTCCTTCCACGGATAGGGATTAGAATGAAAGTGAGAAGAAGCAAAAAGGATCCTCTCAGTGATTAATATCGACAGTGAACCTGCCAAAACGCTAGTCTCGAATGGGATGTTTCAAAATCTCCGCTTTTATTTCCATTTTTCAAAGGACACTGAACCGACGTCATAGCTCGAAATTTTCATGGAATATTTTTCACTTTGAAGAGAATAATCAAGACTAATTTTCAAGACATGACACAAAGTAGTTATCTACCCAATAAATGAACTATGATAGCAAGTCTGCAGTGTGACAAACTAAGATACCTGTCTCTCCGGTCTCTCCGTCTATGTGTAAGAGTTTTTGTCATGTCTAATGATGCTTAACTCCAAACTGTCACTCATTGACTGTTATAAGTGAAGTACCAGTTACTATGTCATGAATAGAGCTCTCTGTTCATGTTGAGCTCCCTCCAAGAGCAATACTTTTATATTTTTTGCAATTGGAGTTTGAAAGTATGACTTTTAAAATAATTTAATTTATAGTACGCAAGTAATTTCTCTTCTAATTTATCAAAGATCAACAGCCTTTGTTCATCAGAATTGATAGCTATCAGAAATAACAAGGTAAGTTCGATCAACGATTTAAGAAATAACCTTAGATATCCGCGAATTATTTTACACCATGCTTTCCTTTTTTTGTTCAAAACTTTGAAAATTAAAGTTTTCTTCCATTAATGTCAAAGTAGTTTCATTTTATGCTACCTTTTTTTGTATTTTAGAAAGCAGAATCATTCGGATTAAGTCAAACAGAAATCATATTCTCCTATGCGTTCCGTTGTGCTTTGAACGTCTTGGCAATAGCATGTCCGTGCGCTCTCGGTTTGGCTACACCTACAGCCGTTATGGTCGGGACCGGCGTAGGAGCTTTAAATGGAATCTTGATCAAGGGAGCAGAGCCACTTGAAAATGCACACAAAGTAAGCAGTAATTTTTTCTCGTCTTTTATGGTCTGGGCAGTTTTGTCTCTATAAAAGATAATTTGTGACTCATTCTTACTAGAAATTCCTGGACTGTTCTAATTTCTTGTAAAGACATAAGGAGCACAGTCATATTAAATTTTTTGAGTTAAATAGTCTTGTTTAAGGAATTTGGAATTGCATTTCAGGGTTTTACTTTTATGTTTAAGTGTGATGTACATTTTAATCACAGTGTTCCAGATTGCTGTGCATTTTTTTTACTGATCAGTTAATGTTTTATTTATTTGCAAAACAGTTGAAATCAGCAAGCCTGGGATTGTATAAGAGCAGCTTATTTTATTTCTGAGATGACAATGCGGTCCTCGAGAAGTACTAAAAATAATGCATGCATTCAAATAATTTCTTTCATTCCATTTTTTTTTGTCATCTAACACATTCCTTTTATTATCTTCATTTTTTGGGTCTCTTTTTCAATATCTGGTCGAGCTCTGGAATAATTCCACTCACAATGCAAGGAACAACTCTCTTTGCTTCTTTTCCCTGATAAAGAAGTGATATAGATGTTAACTTGGATCTTTTCATCTTTTTGTTTTCAGGTAAAATGCGTTGTTTTCGACAAGACTGGAACCATAACTCAAGGTGTACCCACTGTCTCAAGGATATCTCTCTTTGTAGATAACAATGTGTGTTCTATCTCGACTCTTTTGTCTGTCCTTGCAAATGCGGAATTGAATAGTGAACATCCAATAGCTTCAGGTACTTTCTATTTAGTAAAATGAGAGGTATATGGGTGAAAAAGTGGTAGTGTTTAATTTGACATAAGATATGATCTCTTTTTCTAAAACAGTAGTGTAGAATCTTATGATCAATCTTAGAATGAAAAAAATAATGTAAGTTAAATTTCTTAAGTTGAGATTCATGGTTATATAATCGTATGATTTACATTTAATAGAGTGGTAACATACTCATTAGAGCTGTGCAATCAAGGAACTTTAGGTCTTATAAAATTTTAATTATGATTGAAAAATTAAACGCAATAATGATTAAAGTTTGATTAATAACACAGCTCTATTCGTAACACACGTGTAAGCACTCTGTACACAAGAAAATCAGAGGCACTACTGTAGAAAGTTAGCAAATTTTAGAAAATGCTGCATGGATTTTCAATTCAAAAGTTTGCCAAGAGCAATAATTTTTCAATTTGATCATGATGACAATAAAGAAAACTAAGTATTAATTAAGATTAAAATTTGATTAATTGTCCAGCTATAATGTTTACTTGTTCATAAAGTATATTGCTGTCTTCTCATATTCATTCGCTGCCCAGTCATTTGAATTTTGTCTCTTGCTTATGCTCAGTTTTTAATTAAGTTCTTCTTTTTCGCTTTTTCAGCTGTCGTAAAATTTGTGAAGGATGCCCTTGAGATAGACATCATAGGTAAATGCAGCAATTTTCAAGCTGTCCCTGGATGTGGTCTCAAATGCGTTGTATCTCACATTGATGATATGGTCAAAGCTGCCAACAACAATGAAAAAATCATTAATTACTACAATCAAACATCGTAAGTTATTAATGTGCTCTTTATTTTCTGCTATCAAAACGTCAGGATCTGCTATATTAGTCATCAAATCAACATGGCATTCAGACCGTTCCAAATAAAAGTGGAGATCTGTTTACACAATTCTTCTGTAGCTTCAGTGTTTCAAGCATGGTTACACTGCAAGTGTCCTCTGCATTTGTCTGTCAGGTTCCTCAGTTAGTCATTAAAATATGGCATTATACTCACTGACTATCTGTGGAAAAAGTGTATTTCAATTGTATGTATTTCTACCAAACAGAACTAAATGCAGGTGGAAAAGATGGGGTGTGCTCGTTAGTCGAGGGCCGTAAGAATGAATTGGGATAATTAAGTGCCAGTGCCGTCAGTGGTGACGATGACGCCAAAGAGCGATGATCTGGCTGATTAACTAATGAGCCCCGTCCGCATACAGTTGGCACATAGTTCCATTGGATAGAATGTAAAATCCTGCTTTTCCAATTCAGCAAAAGAAGCTATGTGCCAACTGTATGCGGGACTCATGAGCCGTGGGCATGTATCTAGAGCGTTGCGGACAGGGCACAGGAGTTAATCAGTCGGATCGTCGCTCTTGGGTTTCATTGTTGCCGCTGACGGCATTAGCGCTTTGTATTTCCCATTCACTCTTACGGCCCTTGCCTAACAAGCACACCCCATCTTTCCCGCCTACACATAGTTCTGTTTGGTAGAAATTTGTTGAATCGTGGGAAAACTAATGAAAATGTTTCCTCACAATTCTATTTGTGGAAAATGTGTATTTCAACTATGAGAAACTTAATAAAAATGTTTCCTCAAAATTCTGTGCGATTGTTTGGAATGAGTCTAAAAAATTTAACAAGAACTTTCAGTTAGTTTTCCTTTATAATAATGAAACATAAGTGGAGACCTATAACATCACAAATTGAAATACACTTTTTTTTACTTCAACCATCGACTTACAAGAAGTTGTTGGGACATACTTTTCTAAAACATAAAAGTAAGCAATACGTATGTTTTGACAAATAATAAATTTAATTTGAACACTTATCAATTATGTTGAAATTTGATTATTTCTTTTTCCAGAAACGGTGGTTTACTATCACTCCATTACGCGACTGTTGACATTGTGAAAATCAATTCCCCGGAACTTCAATCTTTTCAACTTGAAAAACTGCTACACTTAGATTCCAACCAATCCTCTGAAACATATCAAGTAAGAATTTATTTTTAAAATGAATCAAAGCAAAATTCTTAATGCACGATTCCCATGCAGTAATCATTTGTAGATGTAAGTTAAATTGTATACCATATTATTATACAGGATGCTGTTTTTCATGCAAGCACCTTATCATAGGTGTTCAGAATATTGTTTTGATCTTTTTGAAGAACTCTCCCTCTTAGTATTTGTCAGAAAGTTCATCGCAGAGAGCTGAGACCTCCATAGTAATGACAGAATGGAAATAAAAAGACATTAAATAATGAGACATAGTATCTTGCATCATTAACATCATTTTTGGTCCTTCTCAATATGATTCAAGTAGTAACTTGAGTTCTGCCAGAGGCACCTAGAACAGGAGTTTTTTTGTCCATACTATGAGAGAGCTATTCCCGGCAGTGAGGGCACTTTTATGTTTTATCTTTGTCATTTCCACAGTAAAATTGTATCTATCATCGAGCCGGAATAATAGAATTAGATTTTCTTTAGAAATACATTTTCCCCATTGTTTAATCGTTTTCAGAATGAAAGGAATGCGTAGTTTGTCGGCCTCCCGTGGTTTAGTGGTTGTAGCGCTGGCCCTATAACCAAGAGGTCTCAGGTTCGATTCCCAGCCAGGTGACCTGAGTTTGATGGTCTCAGACAATGGTCACCTGGGGCTGGTGGTAAGCGTGGGATTAGCCAATAGGGGCTTTTTGAAGCTTGTAAAAAAAAAAAGTATAAAGAAAACAAAGACACAAATTAATACTTCATGAATTACAATATTCTATCCATAATCTCCTGTAAATTGAAATGATAAATGCATCACCAAAATTGTGCATGTATTCATACTCCAATTATTTTTCTTTTCTCGCTGTCCAGGTTATAATCGGGAACCGTGAGTGGATGAAACGCAATATAATAGATGTTCCTCTTGAAGTTGATGGTCTAATGTCAGATGAAGAAGAATTAGGACACACTGCTGTATTTTGTGCCATAAATGGTATGAAATAAAATTTTACAAAGTAATTCTGTTTACTCTGTGAACGTTGTTGTTCAGTAATCTTGTTTGGACTGAGTTTAACAGAAAGTCAGAAAATTAAATTTTTGAAAAAAAAATGAGAGTAGTTTCAAATTTAACCAGTTGTAACTTTTCTCCTATCAAAAATTTAATGTCGTGAAACAACAGTTGGAACTTGAAAATAGTTGTTAACCCATTGACTTATGATTTAATTTGACCCTGCCGGGCCAGGAATTGCAAGGCGCAGTTTCAACAAAAAGTTAATTTTTTAAGGAGGCTGATATTACTGTCCTGGAAGATACTCATGCTGCTTTTGCTCCCATGGAAATTGAACGGAATTTTAGACTTACCTCACAATCAGCTTAACGGTTAGACATTTGCCCGCACCAAATTATGAGGACTATTTTTGAGCTTCAGAATTTCATAAGCTAATATATACAGATTTATTCATTATTTATTTTATAGAATTATTAATTTTATTTAAAATGTTCTTGCAGGTGTCCTGGTTGCAATGGTCAGTGTTGCGGATGTTGTAAAACCAGAAGCTCACTTAGCTGTTTATACTTTGAAAAAACGTGGACTGGAAGTCATCCTTTTAACTGGAGACAACAGGAAAACTGCCGCAGCAATTGCAAGACAGGTAACAGTAGGACTTAGTTTTCTGTGCCAAGAAAACTCTTGACAACTTTTATGCTAAAAAATAAACTCAAATGGTATGCCCTAAAACTATTGATCCGAGATACTACCAATTACATTGATGTATTGGTTTTCGTAATTTCATTTTGGTATTTGCATCAATGCAGAGTTTCCAGCAACCAGGAACAGTAAGGAGATACAATTTGTCAGGTTCAGAGGGAGAATCAGGAAAAGTCAAAGAAATAACAAGTCTTAAGGGCCAAGGAAAACCTGGAAAGTCATTAAAAAAGAGGAAGAAAATTCTGCTCAACATCCTATAAGGTTTTAGTTTTTATTTTATGTGGAAAAATTGAGCATTGAAGCTGACCTACGTAGGTGAACTGATTAATTTATTATCAAGAAAAAGCAAAACACTAAGGAATGTGACCTAAATTATGACGTATTTAGGTGGTAAAATAGTGCTGGGTCCACACTATTTTGCAGTGAAAGCAAGGCTAAAAAGTTCAACAATCTATACTATAAGCTCCAAGACCTCCTAATTTTGCGAAACTGGTGACGCTTAGTTCCAGCGTTCTATCGGGCCGATTTTCATGATTTTTGCGGCTATCGACGGGCAATTGTCTCTAGATAAGCCAACTCTTTTCAGATTTTCAAAATATGGCCCAGGTTTTTTTATATTACGTGGTAAAGTTGCGAATTCTCCCATTTAAACAATGTAAATTTATACTTTTTGTCATAGTTCGTTTGGGCGTTCTACCGGGCCGATTTCCATGATTTTTGCGTAAATCGACAGGTAATAGGCCCTAGATGAGCCCGCTGTAATTAGATTTTGGAAAAAAGACCCAGGTTTTTTTAAAATCACGTTATAAAAATGAGTGAGTTTACAGGATGCTCCGGTACTGCTACCGCTATGCGCGGGAGGATGCGCAGTGGTCGAGGAGGTTGCGCAGTAGCTGTGTAGCCTGCGCATCAGCTCTACACTTATCTACACAAGATTCGCATCCACCTCTACACGACGAGCGGTGGTCGAGTCGTCTAAGACGTCGAATGCGTTCACTTAGAATTCGGTGTGGGTTCGATCCCCAATTCATGAATTCATATTTACTATCTGACTATCATTATTCATTGTTTTACTGCAATATTTCATCAAGCAGTCATTCCAAAACGCGTCCTTTAAATTTTTATAGTAATTTTAAGTAAAGTTTAAAATTAAAATATACCTCATATCGTAATTTTTAAGGGGAAAAATAAAACTAACACTGATAGGAGGGTAAGAATAGGGCCGCGAAGCGGCCCATTGATGGCGCGGAGCGCCTTCAGGGGGTTGGGCCGCGTAGCGGCCAGGGGGCGTATTTTTATCTAGAAAGTAAGAATCAGTTGAGCAGTAGAGCTCAAAATTTTTTGACTCCAATGGAAACTTTTTGGCCGTAATAAATAGTGTGGACCCAGCACTGTTGATCCCTTGTTAATTTATTATCTTATTATGTTGATTGATTTTTCTTTTTTTAACGGAACAATATCTATAATTTATTTTTTAATTCTCACTTCCTTTTAGGTTGGCATTGGTCGAGTATTTGCTGAAGTTCTGCCATCTCATAAAGTTGCCAAAATCCAGCGGTTGCAAGAGCTTGGTTATCGAGTTGCCATGGTCGGAGACGGTGTGAATGACTCGCCTGCTCTGGCTCAAGCAGATGTTGGCATCGCCATTGCATCGGGCACCGACGTCGCAGTAGCTGCAGCAGATGTAGTATTAATGAGGGTGAGTTTATTTCTATGTTGGTAGGTAGGGTCCTTTCATTTTTTTCCAAGATAGGAAAGTATTCTACCGCGTTTTTAAATATGTGTGCACAGGCCATTTCTCCTAACAATTCATGTTGTAAACTGCTTTATTTCTGTTTCAGAATGATCTTTTAGATGTAATTGGTTGCCTAGATCTATCTCGAAAAACTGTCAAGCGAATCAGGCTTAACTTCCTGTTTGCCAGTATGTACAATATGATTGGGATTCCTCTAGCCGCAGGAGCTCTCAGTAGTTTCGGAATCACTCTATTTGTAAGTATCTTCCTACATAGATTACTTCTATTCTAGCAGCTGACAGCAGAGGTTAATCAGCTTTAATCATTTAAATTTTGTATCAAAGCATCTAGAATGCCTTATTCTAAGGGATATTTCCAGAATGATCAGTTCGGTTGATTATTATTATCTTAATTCCTTGATTTTTTTGTGGCATTTGCGTTATCATGAACTGCCTTGATTTTTTAAGTTCATGGATCATTCATATTTGAACGAAAGAAGTTTTAAACTTTGATCTCCTTCTTTAATGGAATGCACATAAGAAGTTAAAGTTTTTAAATGGATAGTTATTTCCTTGTATACCATGCCTCTTGCACAAACGTCTGCTTACTCGTTAAACCATTTAGTGCTGCATAACACATGATTCAGTCACTCTTTTCAGTTTTTAATCATCATAACCATTTTGTATGTTTTTTTTTTTTTTTTTTTTTTTTTTTTTTTTTTTGTATTTTTAAATCAGAAAATTTCAGGCTTGATTAATTTTGTATTTACTTACCTTTTGTCCTACAGCCTTGGATGGCCTCTGCTGCGATGGCTCTCAGCTCAGTTTCTGTAGTCTGCTCATCACTTCATCTCAAGTTGTAAGTGATTATTCTCTAATTGATACTTAGTCTGCGTGTTGGCACAAATTACAGATTGTTTGATTCAGGACACTTACTCAAGGAAAAATTGTAGGAATACATATTGTAAATCATTCCACTTAAACTTGAGCACAATCAATTTTAAAAGGATTGAGCATAGAGGTCTAGGGGTAGAGGAGGAGATTAAACCAATTGGTCAAGAAAGTTGAAGGGTAAAATTTAATTTTCAGGGAAAATATCTCTTACATCTCATAGTTTTATGTCAGAAAATCTGTTTAAGTCATTTCAGTGGTGAAACATCAGAAACGCTCATACCTTTAAAATGATTTAAAATCTCAGCTCTCATTTTATTTTAATAAAAGAAAACGAACCAATGCTACTGCTTGAAATTTTTGCTGAAAATTTTTCAGACAGAAGAAAAATCTGGCAATATTCCAAATAATGATTTTTAGCATTTCTTCATTTAGAAAATAAAGTATGATGACAGGAAGTCTGCAAAGTTACAAACCAAGATAAGCACTCCTGCAGTTTCTGTGTTGTTTAGTATTTTTGAAGAGAAGAACTTTCAATCTCACTACTGTAATGGGGGGGGGATGAAAAGATCCAACGCACGTACTGAAATGGTAGAGCTGATCAATATAATCGATATGACACACGATAGACACTGGATACACTTGGCTAAGGTGATATCTCTAATTGCGGGCCGATGATATGACCCTGCGCCGCAGGCCTCTCAGAGTATGTATCTCGGTAGCATCCGGAGAAGCATGACGTCAGAGATTTTATTGCGATGACCAATGCTCCATGGTAGATACTCCGAGATCGCCAAAATGCACGCGCGAGCTTGCGCTCCCAAAATCATGGCCCTGCATCCAAGGCATTGGATGCATCATGAAAATGCGAACATAGAACTATAGGTAATATGGAATGCCTTTCCATGACACTACTTACATAAAATTGATTTAGTATGAATTTATAGTATCAGTATGAATTTTCTTTTGAAGTAATTCATTCAAAGTGGCACTTATGGAAGAAATTTATTTGCAGGTTCCGAAAACCAACGCAGGAGTCTCTGACAACACCTGAGTATCGTGCAGCAATGGAGGCCAGTAAAGCTGCCAAATGCGAATTGGATACAATATCCATTCATCGGGGACTGGACGACAACGAACCTCCTGTATTCACTCGCTCCACTAGTAGCGCTCTCGAAAAGTAAGCATCAAATTTTGATCATTTTTCCAACACATCTTGCGAATTACAAGATCAAAAGTATAAATTCATTTTATTGCATTGTTAAGCAGCTTAGTGGTGCCGGACCTCCGCAAACTTGATTTAATCACTAGTGGCTAGCAGGTGCTTCTGTGAAAAGTGAATATTTTATCCCCTTTCAATTTCAAATGCCATTTTTTTCAATTTCAATTTGCAGGCATTTTCATACAGAGCACCAGTAGATTGTACACATTTCATTTAGAAAAGAAGAATTAGCTTTTATGTACTTTCTGAAGGGTAGCCCTTTTTTCTATTTTAACTGATTAAACTTCTCTGGTTTTTCCAACGGTCTTTTAAGTTTCCGTAATCTCAGTCAAGTATATTTCTGAGGTATCAACTGAGATTTTTTTGGTGATGGTTTTTTGCTTGGCACTTTGGTTATAAGGTCATTCAAGAAGGTTACGGTGTTATTTTATCATTATCTGGTGGTGGTTTCTATCATTTATCAAGGAAGATTTGCTGCAGTAAATTTTTCTGAAATCATTGTGAATAAGTACAATTATTCATTACAAGCATCATTCTTTTTCTAGATCAACATCAACAAATTACTCTTAGAGTGAATTAATCATAGTTCCAGAAACGAACAACTATATCTTAGGTTATCAGAGTCCATAGTTTTTCAATCATTGATGAACAAGCCTTTGATCCTTTTTATCTTTACAGAGGCATTCTGTTAACTTTGAGAAATCAGAATAGCAATGATTTCCCGTACAATAACACAACAATTTTTGTAAAATTCTTTCAACAGTTTTCAATTTTTAATTTTTTCATGGTTTCTTTATTTTTGTTTTTATTCATTATAATCACAAGAATCAGTTTCCTTTTCATTTTAATTTATATCTCATCCATTGTTTTGCTTTTTTCTGTTTACACCATTTTGAAAACTATCTTCTGCCTTTCATCTAATTTTGATCTAGCTTTTGGAAGTCTTCTTGCGTTAATTTGAAGTCCAAACTTGATGAAGTTTCTATGGCTTCAAAAATGGGTCGTAAGTTCCTTTTTACAACTTTCTAGTTTGTTTCAAATAATATTTTGATCCCTCATGTATCAAGTAGATTTAAGTATATAGACATACTGCAGGCCACAGGTTTAGTATTCTAATGCCAGGCAAGGTTTGGAAGAATCTTTAATATTCACATAACTGTGGACTTGGTCCATTATATTAATGTTAAACGGTGGTTTTGTTTGCTGATCCTTGAAGCAAAATATTGCAAAAATCCTGTGTGCGATAGTAAATCGAACTATGAGTAGGCAAGCCTGTCACAATAAAAAAATGCATAATCGATGTCATCAATCAGTAACATCAAAACTATTTATGTCCTCAAAATATTAACCTAAATAGTTAACTTAGGAAATTAAAAACTCTCAATCTCTGAATCACCCTTTTAAAAAATTAATTTTCAATTATTAATTATGACTTTGAATTTTTTTTTTTTTTTAAAAAAAAATGTTTTTCAGTGTAGATCATTAATCTAAAAATCTTTATTTTGAAATCTCCTCTTTCTCTCATTCCAAAGAAATGAGGTTATTTTATTTTGCGTAGAATAGATCTTGATTTGAAGTCAAACACATTTGCTTAGGCTTACTAAGAGCTCACTTTATGTGATTAATCGTCTATTAAATTACCAGTGTAGTTTTCCTTGTTAGTGTGAATTATTTCTAAAAAAGGATATACATACTTTTTTTATTGCTAACTTGTTTTGCTTGTCAGTTTGATTTCTGCACTAATTTTTAAACATTTCAATTCGTTACCCTCCTGATGTAAGGGCGTAACTGCTTTTGGAGTCAAGCCTCACTGTCCATATAACTTAAAGCGTTTAGCGTTTGCAGCATGCCCTTGCGTCAGAGGTTCAATGAATTTTGCTTTCATTTTTGTAAATTAATTTTTTGTCACACATAGTTTTTTTCCATCATAAGTTCATAATCTTTAAAAACCCTCTTATGATCATAGATTTTACTGAACATAACATTGACTTTTTTTTATTTATTCAAAGATAAAAAGGTTTTAAAGGTCCTATTTTTGCAAAGTAACCTAAATAATAGCGCTGAATTCTATCCGTGAAGTCTTCACTTAATGAATAAAGAAAACTGAAAAAACGGGGCTCATGGGCCTAGAATAGTTTTTGGCACATGCAGATACTTTAGCCCTTAGTCTCTAGTTTTTTCATTTTTTGGTTTTGACGTAGAGAGAGCTTTGGAGTAACTTATCGGCTTCTTTTTTAAACAAACTGAACACCATTCTGTAAGTCCTATTAGCTTATTGCTTTGAAACAACCTTTAATAACAAATTTAGGATATTGAACTTTCACTGTGGAAATGATTGTAATTCCATAAATCCAGTTTTATTTCGACTTGTGCATGTCATTTTAAATTTTCAATAACAGTTTGGTGTGGGGACAGCGGTCGCTTTATAAACAATACATATTTGCGCTTTCTTAGTATGAAATGAGAAATGGCCTGTTTCTGTAAGAATTATGCTTTGAACCTGTAATTATTTTGCATAAAGGGCAAAGAGTCGGTCTACATTTCAGTATGAGCCTCCATAACAGTTTTATGATGGTGAAACTAAAAAAAATGTAGCTTGTTTGCAACATTGTCAGCCTCTTGCCACAATTTAATACGTAAAATTTCACATGAGATTAGCCGCAATTCAAAAATAGTTGGGGTGGGGGGCTACTCATTATTTTTTTTAAGAAGTGGAGTAAAAGAGAAACTCTGAAACCCAGAACCTTAGCGTCAATTTTTTTTTTTCCATTACTATTATTTTTTGTTCGTTTTACCATTACTATAATCCTCTTCCACTATGAAAATTTCTCTAAATGTTGATAGTCCTTTGTTTCCTTGACATTGTTGATAAAATCTTTTTATCCATAATTTCTCATGTAATTCTATCTTACCCTCTGAACAGGCAAGTTAGTAACGTCTTGTTAGTATAGGTCGAAATTAAAGGTCACAGCTTTTGAAAATGGTTATAGTTGGGAAATAGGGAGCCTTCAAATGAGAAGAAATCCCTAGAAATTTGGGTACCCCAGGGCTCAAAATTTTGAAAAATTCCGCGGCTTTCCTCAATCCATATTTTTCTCAAATCCTTCATTTTTCCTGATTGTTGAATCAGAAAGATAAATCAGAGCTTCAATGCTTAAACGTTCAGATAAACATTGCTTCTCGCAGAAAGACTTGTAACATGGGTTTGCCTCTTTGCAATGCTGCCAAGTTAAGGAGATATGCCGTATGAACATTCAAATGTTGCCGAATTTACTCAAATAAAATTGTTATTTTTTATTAGTTATGAACTTCTTTTCTAGTAATTTTCAGATAATCTAGATTAAATTGTGAAAAAACTCATCCTAAAAATCTGAAGGAAAATATTCACCAATTTCATAGAAAATTCGCGATTTATGGAAGGAAAGGCAGGATCAGGTGGTTAATACAGAACTCTTCCTTAAGATTGTAGAATGGACCCCTGACATACATAAAAAATATCCTCTCATTTTTTATGTGCATGATCGTATCATCAGCTTTACATATAACATCAGCTTCTATAGTTCTACCTCATTTTCAGAAGATTATCAGAAACATACCAACCAATTGTTTTTCCTTCTTCTTTCAGAATCTTTGGATCAAGACCCAAACAAGAAGCTGAAAATAGACTGTTAAGCAACTCCGATGATATGGATGATATCGTCGTTGATTACTTGAATGTAAATAGTAAATACAATGGTGGAAATTCACTGACAAACCTGTAGCCAAAATCATATTTGCTTCATCTGCAAAATCAGCCATTACTTATGTTAACACAAATCATGATGTTTCAGTCAATATTTTAAAACAAATTTTAACTTTTATTCTCTGTAACTGATTTTCAACATTGCGGTCACAAACACTCTAATTTTATTTATCTATTTTTTTTTCTCTTTTTTTCTTTTCTTTTTTAAACTCATTAATGTTGATCGATTATGTTTGTTAAGATTTTAGAATACTATTGCCATACTACATATCTCATTTTTGCCTGCCAATTTTAATTGAGAGTTAGAATGTAATCTGAACTGCTAAATGGGTCAACAAATCTTAAATTTACCGCTTTAATGATCATTTTCATTTTAATTTTAAAATTTTAGCCACTTGTATTGTATGTTGAATTTTAGGGCTTCTAGCCTCTGAGATCCAGAAAAGCAAAAAAAAAAAATCATTGTCACTTGTTAAAAATTGTCCAAGTAATTCAATTTGCTGTGTGTAAATGTTACAGAAAAGATATCCTACATTTGTTTTAATTGAGTTCTAGAATCTCTTTTTAATCGTATTTTATATGATACTTTTTTTATCCTTACTTTTTAATTGACGTGACTTGAATCACCAAAGTTTAGGTTCTTCTATTATCTGTATTTTTCTAAGCATTTCAATTGTTGTAGTTTCCAGTCCTCAATTCAATAATAATGAATTCAAAAGGACAACCTTTTGTTGAAGGACAAGCTTCCAAGGAAAACCTCAAAGACTGCACTTTACTCCGTAACAGTTAAAGCCTATTTAATGTCTACTTAAACATTTTCAGCCGAACATGCATTCAAATAGGTAACTGAATCATGAAATATCACTTTTCGGTTTTTCCATGGCACTGTTAACAAAGGTGGACTAACATGTTCATTATCCATTCCAGAAATGGTGGATGCACATTAATCAAAAGAAAAAGTGTCCAACAAATTTGATTTTTTCCAATAATCATTGGTGGACCATGTGAGATCCTTATTAAGTTGATGTATGTAAATTTCAATTCCCCCCTAGTTATCATCAAATATTTGAAATCTGTTTTAACATACAGCCAGATACACTCAATGAAACAGAGCCTAGGATCATTGAAGGAATGAATAATCAATGGGGTTACAAGGGATCTTTAAATCCTGGTATAATCAAAGATTCTCTGCACAGGATTCTTTCTATAGGTGATCCTGTAAAAAAACTTTCAAATTTTAAAATTACATTTTTTTAAAATTTAGGTACACTGTTGATTCCTTAATGTGAAAAATAACAAAATATGAATTTGTTGCCAAGACTTTTATTTTGCTTGGAATGGCAAAACAATTGGTGGTAATTTAATAAAAATGACAGGATAAATATTTTGTTACCGATTGTTTACCAACCACCCTGAAGCTCAGAAATCACACTAAAAGTTCCCCAGATCCTCGTAATTAATGTCTGAAATTTTTTCTCCTATTTTATTGCAGTACGGCTAATTAATCATTATTATTTTTCAATCGCTGAATATTTCTCCGTTGTTGATTCAAAACTAACTTCAGGAATTCCAATTTACACAAATTTTTTCTTAATTCTGTTTGCCACAAAATAACATTAGTGAAAACTTTGGGATACAGTAGTCCAAGTACCTGTTTTCCTCATCCCATACTTTGGATAGTGGAACGAAAAATTTCTGAACTGTAATCAAAATGTTACTAAATATATTTGCACTTTTTCCTCCCCTCATTTTGTTAAATTACATGACTCAAAAATGTTCAAATTTAATAAACTTTCATTGATTTTCTACCATTATAATGAAAGTAACCCGAAATTTGCAATGTTGCACGCCAATATGCACAGTTTTTCAATGTAATAATTGATTTATAAGAATATTTCAGAAAGTTGGAATGAATTATTCTCAGTAAATGCATTTCTCTAAGCACAACTTTTTTTCCAAAGAGGTGGAAAAAAAATTTCGGTGAAATCAAGTTTTTAAAGCATTCATAAGCCTTGAAAAGTCAACGTCAATGTTCAGTGTGTGAGCCAAATTCTTGGAATGTTACTGGTTCATCCAATTTTATATCCTAATACTTGAGCGTATGTTTTATATCCTTATACTATAAAATGTATCATTTTTTTTTTTAAGTTTTTCCGGCTTTTTTTTCTCTATTATTTTTTGTTTCTCTATCATTTGCTCCTCTTGTTTCAATTAGATCTGCAATATATGCTGATGCTCTGAGAGTTTTATCTTTTTTCACGTGTTATCTCTCTTTAAAAAATTGCTGGTGTCAAATGCATCCAGTTTCTTTTTTTCGACTCTTCCTCTTAAAATGCACTTTTGATAAGAGTCACAACCTGTGTTTTGAGGTCCGTTTTCTTTTCTTCAAGTTGGAGGACTTCATCACTAAAGAGAATAGGTTAAAATGTACCTGATAGAAAATTAAACTTGTAAAATTTTATCTCAAAACATTTTTTTTCCAAGATTGTTTTCAAGGCTGAAAGGTACCTGATATTAGTTGCCACCCGACAATTCTTAAAACGTGTCTCTTTTCATTTAATGATGAGGCGGGTTTTCATGCAGCCTCTGTTTTTGTCTTGTACTTTTTTGGCAATCCATACTTACTTTGAGTGAGTCACATAAATTTTGAGCTCTGTCATCTTTGGAAAGGGAGACCAGTTTAATTTTACATTTTTCGTAGCTGAGAATTACTGCCTTCACATTTCTTCTTCACAAACTGCCCCTGGGCAAAGCTTAATTTGATTTCAAATCCTGTGCGGCATAGTCTACTTAATTTTGATTCCATGTCTTGTAAGTATTTTTAAAAAAGAAATACAAAGCTGTCCTGGCCCCTAAAATATTTGTATTACTTTTTTTATGTCTTCAACTCAGTTTCTGATTTTTTTTCTTTTAAACTAAGCATCAACATTTTTAAGGAACTGAAGAAAATTTTTACTGTATGTTCATTACATACTCCTCATATTTTAAAACTAATCCATTAAGTCACCCACCATCTATTTTTATGTACCTGGTTACTTCCATTTGTTAAAAATCAAGAGCTGTTAATTGCCTCTTAATTTTTTTTTTTTTTTCATGTGTTTTCCCCCTTTTCTGTGGTGAGGGAATAGAGGATTTTATCCTTATCTGTATAAGAAATTAAAATTTTACTTTTCGCTCTTATTTCCACCTCCGAGATGGAAGTTTATTCTCCTTTGTTTTAAATATTGTGATTGATGTTAGCTGTGTTTTTCACATAACTAACAAAATTAATGTAATTACTCCCTCCATTTTATTTAGTATGAAATTGCCCTGACTTGACAACATGTTTTTGATTTGCATTGTTACTCTTGAAATCCTATATTTATTACGACATATTTTGTAAGTATTTTTATACTTGTAAATTATTCCATGTATTTTATTGTATTAAAAATGCAAATACAACTCGATTTAGACTTTGCATCATCCAATAATTCTCCCTCGAAAATTTTTATCCCACCTAATGAAATTGATTCATCAAAGTAATACTCATAGGGCCAGAAATTTCTGAAATGAATAGTTCATATTTGTATCTTTTTGAGTTCCTCAGTAGATAGTATGTGGAAAAAATTGATCGTTGGAACCAGCAGTGCTGCTGGTTGCTAGGAGTGGAGAGGGAAAGCAAAGCGACAGCGTAAGTTCGCAATTACATGTCTCGTTTGCGGTGTCTGAAAATCTCCGCCTCTTTGTTATTTTTTTTAAGGAGGACAAATTGACATCATTCCTTAAAGTTTATGCAGAGTCTTTTTCGTACAGAGAAGAAAAATCATGGCAGTTTTAAAGAATTGCCGTTGTGTAGTTTTCCATTTAATAAGTAAAGTATGATAGGAAGTCTGCGACGTGGCAAACCGAGTTATGTGATTGCCAACTTACACCATCGATACCCCCTTTGAAGCTAGGGAAACCTCCCTAACTCTCCTTTGAGGCTGGAATGGCGGAGCCTTACTGATCTCCCTTGATAGGTTGTCTTTTAGTGCCCCCCCCCCCTCAGACCCCTCCCCCATTGCTTACCCCTCCGGTTATTAGTGGCCCCCTCCACAAAAAGTTCCTGGTTCCGCACATGTCAGAGAGAGGAGGAACTTTGAATGGAACTTGACCATGAATAGGGTGAGAATAACAGCAACACGTGAGATATGTTAGGAAATTTTCAACATTAACTCTGAATTCAAAAGTAAAACCAACTGCTTTTTCACAGTAAAAATGGTCGATTTGAATTCCCCATTTGCGATCAAAAGAAAATCGATAAAAGCTCGAAGTGGTCATTGTTATGAAAAAAATAATTATTTATCGATTGTTGACCTATATTTTATCAGGATTATTTTTACAAATAGAAAAAGGCACGGTACTATTTCATTTTCTAGGCAAAAAAATTGTGCTCCAGGGGTAATTTTCAGAATTTTTCCTATGGAGAATCTTGGGTAGGCGGACAGAGACTATGCTCAGACTCGTCGTCTCGTTGGCGCAAATCCCCCCCCCCTTAACTAGGTAATGTTTCTGCCTTTGCGCCGTCACCACACGAAACTCTGGCTACACTTAAGGCTTTTATACTACATTTATTCACTCGTAATTACCTAGAAGGTGGTAAGAATTTACGAAATCTATCAATCTCGGGCAATTTCATAATTTGAACTACATTTGGCGATTAGGAACTACAATGTCTTGCTCAATTTATTATGAAGGACGTGTGTACCACTAATTTTCTTATGCACATAAGTGTTTTTACGAATGAGCCAGAAATTAATGGTACTTCCTAATCGCAAAATGCAGTCCAATTATACTGTGATTGAAGTAAAAAAAAAAACAAGGAAAACAAAAAAAAAAACAATGCGTGACTGCATGCTCCGCTCACATTTTAATTTTCCATGAAAAAACCAGCCATTAGCTTTTATTTAAATTTTTGCGCATTTTTTTCTACGCATCGATAGGCTCACAGAAAAATCAGAGGCATTTTTACTTAGTTTTTATGAAGATATAAAATATTTCATGGTACTGAAGTTAGGTAGGTATGCATTTTTCGACTATGGACAGCCATCGACGTGCATGTTTTTAAATTGATATCGCAAACAGCTCAAGTGGTAAAATAGTGCAAAAAAGATAACTTCAGGCAGAAAATCGGCGTTCAAAGATTCTAGATAAGCGGATCAAATTGCCAGGTTTCGACGTTTGCACCGGATGCTCGTGCTTTCCCTTACAAAATCGGGCGGCGCGGCGTGCAGTGAAAAGAAAATGCGAACAGGGTTCTTGCAGTCTGAGGAGGAGGGAAACAGACGTCCAGACGTCTCTCTGTCTGAAATCGGGCGGCGGCACGCGTTTGTAATCAGTTCTCGAAGGAAAAGAAAACCAAAAGCCCAGGCGACGCGTCACTCCGACGCCAACACAGGACAGCAGTCTGCAGGTACAGACACCCTCGCGCGAGCCAATCACAAACCGTGTTGATCGGGAGCAGTCAACTCCGCGCCCCCACTCCATGCAGATTCATTCATCAGATTTCGGCGGTCGGCACTCTCACTCTCACTGTTCGGCTGGTGGTCGCACGAGTTGGTTGCAATGTCTCGCGTTCGGTCGGAGTGAAGCCCTCATGGCTGCAGTAATTTTCTTTTCATGAAAGGTTCTAAGACTTTCAGAACTCTTCACATTCTATCTTGTAACTTACCTCGTTTGTTTCGCGGAAACTCTGCGGTGTATGTGGAAACGATCGTGTGAAGTAGTTCGTCGCTTGAATTGAGTCTTTCATTTTCTCGAAAGTCACTGACTCGTGCCCGGTGTCTGAGTGAATCGTATGAGGGCAACTGATGTCCAAAATTACCATCAATTTTCTTAGTTCTATATCGCATCGTCGTTCTCGGCATTTACTTTCGCAGTGCGTGGCTCGGTACCTCCTGTGTTTCGAGAAAACTCTTTTCGTAAGGACATGAAAACGATCGTGTCTATCAATTTGTCATTGAATTGGACGATGGCTGCCATTGAGAGCTTCTCTTTTGCTCGAAATTTTCGGTAATTCGTGCCCGGCGTTTGAGTGAACTGAATTTGGGTAATTGATATTTGATATACCCAAAATTTTCCTCGATTTGCGTGGTTTCCTGTGTTTCGGTGTGCCTGTATGAACCTCTCCATTTTTCTTTGAACAGATTCGCGTGGGATTTTCTGTTGAGCGGAGGTGGGGATTCGGGAGTGATGTTTGCCCCTCGTGAGTCGTGTCCGCGTATTTCTGTGTGTGCGTGCGCGTTGCGGCATAAGTGTTTCTTGTGTATCGGCTCCGCGTTTGAAGTGTGTCCGCGTCTCCTTTTCAATCTACCTACCACTATTAATTTGATTGATTGTTCCTTACCATTTGAAGGAGTTAGATGTCTGGCCACAGCTTCCTTTGGTGCGTGTATATCTTGGCGTTGGTCTGGATTCAGGTCAGATTTATTAGCACATAACTTACTTAGATTCTGCTCAGATTAGGTGTCATCATTTCAAAATTGTGTGTTACTAATAGTTTACTCACCTCTTGCTCGTCTTCCTTCACCTATTCATTTCCGTCCTGCCTTTTTTACGTCTGTTGTGCTTCATTTTACAGTTTTTACCCGTCTGTAAATGCCAAGAGTTAGTTCATGGGTGAATCTTGATGTTATGTTCCTTAGTTAGGTACTTCTAATCCGTAAACTAAGTACCTACTGTTGCCATCCCATTTTTCTAGGCTTGCAGATAAGTGTCTTGTACGTGCAGACAAAGTAATAATTAATGAGAAAATCATTTTTAGGTGTTTGACAAGGAGTTGAACCCCATTCAAATAATTAGGTATCTACAGAGAGATCTGTTTTTAGAAAAGTCTTATTTTAGCACCTCTTTTTGCACATGTTTACAGGCTCAACAGATTATTGTTCCGATCTGAAATTAGTCGAAAATTCCAGACTTCTGATTGAACTGTCTTGAGTCAAAGTCGGTCAACACTCTAATTTTACAGGTTGAAATTTTCATGTTTTCAATCGTTTTTTTTACATTAATTAATGGTAATGATTCCACACTAAAGAACATGATACCACCAATTTTCGGATTAGTCATCGATTTTTACTGTTATCATGATTGTGATTATTTTCCAATATGTTTCTAAAGTAGGCTCATCAGGTATATTGTACCTATACAACAATTTGATTCATTCCCCTCTCCTCAACGCCCTGTGGTCCATGTAATTTTCTTGGCAAAGTGCACACTAAAAATATTTCTTGAGCTTTGGTTCCCGACTTGATTGGGGAACCAGATAAGTTTTATTATATCATAGGTAATCTTAGGCAGCTATGGCCTTTTCTGAGACTGGAGCCTGATAATTTTCATATGCACTCAATTCTTAATTTTCAACCTCCCCTCTCATCTCTTTTGCCACCTGACCACCTCATGCATGGACACGGTTTAATCTGGGAAGTTCCAAAGTAGATTTTCTAGGTACATGTAATTAAAATAATATCGTATATAGTCTCCTCAGATAATCTGCATCGGTGAAAGCAGTAGTTTTATTACTAGGATATTTTTTTATTTTCTCATTTCATCGCATATAAAGACGGGGAAAATCTTGAGATGGTTCCTATGAGCATTGATGGAGTTTAACCCTAGGTTTCTTTATACGCATCACTTATTTTTTATTTTTAAAACTAATTATATGAGTGTCCTCTTTCGTCGACAAGACCCATCAGGTGAAATTGAAGAGAAAAAAAGGAGCAAAGATGAAGTGGGGGCGGAGGGAGAGAGCGAACATCCATGCCCCTCCAAAGTCACAAGAATTTTAACCTTAATTTTGCTTACGGCCTTTGGTGTGAGAGCGGCCTCAAAATGTATTTCAAAGATTTTTCCTGAAAATTTCTGATAACATTTCTTCCGAAAATTGAGACAATAGTGTGAAGAGCCATTTCAACTCAATCCGGGGGGGAATCCTTGTTCGGAAGTGGCGAAATTTGCCGCCGAGAAAAATCTCAGGAAAATATCTAAAATGCTTAAAATTGATCCTTCAGGAGGGGCTTTTTTTCCCTTGCCCCAGCCCAAATGACCCCCTTGTAAAGTGCGAGTTGTAGCAACTTGTATATCAAGTTATTGACGATTCTAAGGTCGAGAGGAGTCACCCATTGCCCCGCTCGTTTGAATACCTAATTTTAATTTGCTGTCATAAGGCAAAGTTATTTTTGTCTTGAGTTTGATGGTCTCAGACAATGGTCACCTGGGGCTGGTGGTAAGCGTGGGATTAGCGAAAAGGGGCTATTTGAAGCTTGTGAAATAAAAATTAAAATAAATAAAAATAGAAACATTTGTCCACGTCAAAGTAGTTAAGGCCACAGGAAATATATCTCCATTAGGTAGATTACTGCTTCTCTAATTTTGTAACAGTGCATCAATGGAAAGAGGATTTTCGTTAGGTCCGAGTGCATAAGTGATTTTTTTTTAAGGAGAAGGGAGTAAAGATTTGGCGGGAAGCGAGATCCTCTCCGCTCAGCTCACACCTGTGCCCGCCCGAACCGGATACCGAGGCACGCTCACAGACAAATCTTTCCCGGAATTCTTTCAGGCTCCGCAGATTTCAGCCAGACTTACGACCTCACACCCTTCCTCGTCGAATCGTTCTTTCATCGTTTGCCGATAACACATGGGTTTTCCCCAGCTCAACCTTCCTGCTAGTCTCCTTAGAGTCAGATAAGAAGCGTTTAATACTTCCTCCCCTCATATCTTTTCCCCTCACCCCTTTTCCTTTTCCTTGTTTCTATTCAATCATGGGATGGCACTGTTCGGATTTTTAACAATTTACTGGTAGTCCCCCCCCCTTCCCGTAGGCGTGCATGTCTTACTTCTCTCCCTTGGCCTCTTTCTTTTCGTATTAAATGCGACTCGATGGACGCCATATTTTGTGTCAGAGCGACATGCGATATGTCGCATCGATTGGTTGCATTTTCAGCCACTCGTCATTTTTCTCGAATTTTGATAGGTATCGCAATTCTGTTGTCAGGGCACTAGTAAATTCACTTAACAATTTTGACAAACAAATTCAACGTAATAAAGGCGTGGTGTTTTTAGAGGTCAAATATCGCATTCGAGTGGAGTTTCGATATCAGAATCGAATGGGATATTTTTCTTCTACAAAAACAACGCCTTTATTACGTTAATTTGTTCGTCTAAATTGGCAATTGAATTCTTTAGTATCCTGACAACAGAATTGCGATCTCAAATTCGAGAATAATGACGAGTAGCTAAAGAAATGGAACCAATCGATGCGATCTATCGCATGTCGTTCTGGCACTAAATATGGCATTCAATATTTGCCATTCTCTACCTTTCCTATTCACTTTCCCCACTAATGGCAATTGACATCCCACAAAATTAAATCATTCTCGATTTTGTTTCTTTTCTTTCCTGTTCTTTTCTTTTCTTATCTTATGTCTAGTGTTTTAACTATTCTTAAGAAAAAATTCCTTTGAAGTAACTAATTAATTTAATCATGTTCTTGCATGCGTTAGATTTAAGTACTTTTCTCACTTCAACTAACTATAAAGAAAAAATTAGATACTTTGATGAACTACTTAATATTATTGAGAAATGTAGAAACACCCGAGGAATGAAGCTCCTGCATGCGTCAGGGATTTGAGATTTAAGTACCTATTCGTAAGTAAAATTTCGATAGAAACACAATGGTACCACTGATTTTCTTTAAATTAATTCCCAAGCTCAAAAAAAGCTCTCAAAGTTGAGGCCTTAATGGAGGGGATATCCCACGCAACGTTGCGAATTCACCTCTATATCCAGTCTTTTCCATGCGAAGATAGGGGGCAAATACAAAGGCAAAGTTGCCACTTTGTTTGGGGACCCAAAGTTGGAACCACGGCAATCCTGCTAATGCATTTGCTCCCTATATTTGCATGGAAAATTTGACTGGATGTAGAGGTGGACTCTCAACGTTGCGTGGTGCATCCTCTCCATTACGGACTGCACATAGAGAGTATTTTTAGGCTTGCGAATTGATTTCAGAGAAAACAAATGGCACCATTTTGTTTCCCACGAAATTTAACGCACAATCAGATGATCTCATTGAGATTAAGAGAGGGTGAATGTTGATCCCTCCCGCGTGGATGTTGTCATAGAAGGGGGGTGGTAGGAAAACGGGACTGAGAGAGAGTGAATGTGGTTTGTTGGACGGTCGGGTGGACAGTTGGTCGAGCGATCTGTCGATCGTTTTTTCCCCGGAAAAAGCTTTCGAGAGATCGTTCGACCTACTGTCCATCTGGCGGTCTGACAAGCGCTGAGTGCATGTGGTTTGTTGGACGGTCGGGTGGACAGTTGGTCGAGCGATCTGTCGATCGTTTTTTCCCCGGAAAAAGCTTTCGAGAGATCGCTCAACATACTGTCCATCTGGCGGTTTGACAAACGGTGAGTGCATGTGGTTTGTTGGACGGTCGGGTGGCCAGTTGATCGAGCGATCTGTCGATCGTTTTTTCCCCGGAAAAAGCTTTCGAGAGATCGCTCGACCTACTGTCCATCTGACGGTCTGACAAATCGCGAGGCCTCACCTGGCTCTCGTCGCACCATCTGGTTACGATCAGAAACTCCCATCATTATGTGGTCGGCGACGACTTCATTTTGACGGGAGAGCGCTCGTAACCTGTTGATGCGACGAGTGCTCTTCATGATGGTAACCTGGGAGGCCGTTTTCGTTTATGCACCATCCACTCTGGGTACACCTGCCGTCGAGTGGCAAAGTCTGCGGTTCGAACTCCCGCCGGCGCTGGCCTGCGGTCGTTGAGTTGGGCGGCATTGCTGTGATTTGCACTTTGCGGCGAAAAGGCCCGGGTTCCGTTCCGGGGGAGCCGGAACGGAACGCGGGTCAAACGGAACTTCTCTGGGGCCGAATGCACCTCTCACCCTTTACTAAGCATAGAGTACAATAGAGTCGCAATGCACTGGAGCGCCGATGAAGGCACTTTAGGAGGCTGTTTTGTCCAGTACTCCGGAGACTAGTGTGCGGCGACTAGCGATGACCAAGTTAGATTTACACAGGTATGGACAAGTTGAAAATCTTCCATGAGCCTCAGTACGTGTAACATGACTACGTGACGTAGGTTAAGGGGCCCGTTTTTTAATTAAATTACAATCAAATTAACATTCAAACGTTTGTGCGTTTAGACGTTAAAATTAATATCGCATTATCAAAATTGTGCAAAAAATTCCACAAAATTTTGACTAACGATAAACCGAACATAATAAATCAAAATAATCAAAACATACAAAATGGCGGAAGTTAAGGGGCTCTGGAGAGCCAATCAGAGGCCAGTTGTTTAGTTCTGTCCATACCTGTGTAAATCTACCTTGAGCGATGACGCATGCGCTGAGACTAACGTCTCTGTCAGACACACATTGAGAACCAGCTAATTGTAAGTAGGCTGGT